CTTTCGGCTTCAACTTGGTTGGAACTGTTGAGCGGGCGACGCAACGTTAGGGCCTCTCCCTATATAGTTACTCCAAGGTTGAACCTGTTCTAATGGCCACCTGACAAGACCAATCACCTGTACAAGCAGTCGCTTCCCACTTCCTCCCTTGCCTTTTATAAATATATCGTGATCCTGTGCAAGACATCCACCTGTCTAAAAGAACCACTTTTCTCTTCGATAGTGAATGTCCGTCTGAAAATTTCAAGAGTAGTTATGTGATTGCTGTTGTTATTATTGTTACATGTGCAAGTGCAGTAAGTTAAACCATTGTGTGTCCCTTGATTTGCTATTGTTGTTGTTGTTTTTATTACTTGTCCAAGATGCAGTCAGTAACAACACTGTGTGTCCCAAGTTTTGTTGTCGTTGTTGTTGCAGTTATTAATGTTATCATTATTATTATTCACTTTTCAAAGAAGCAGTAGTAAGTAATAACATTGTACGTCTTTTTCCCCCTCCTCCAGCCTGCTGGAAGACGGCAACAAGAGCCTGCTGGCAGACAGGAAGGAGCTGGAGAATCAGCTACAGGAGATGAAGGAGTCGCAGGAGGCTGAGCACATCGAGGTCAAAAGGCTCAAGACTCTGTTGGAGAATGAGAAGAGCAAGGTAAGGGAGGGGCGAGAGAGAGAGAGAGAGAAGGGGATAGAGGAAGGGAGAGAAAGAGATGCATCGAGGTAGACAGATTTGAGACCTGGCTGGAGAATGAGAAATGCAAGTTGAGATAGAGGGTGGGGTTTGTGATGTAGCGGTTAGGTTATTCGCTGTTCCATTGAGTATTTTGGTCTTTTTCTGCTGGGATTTTTTCCAGAAGCCTGCCTCCTAAATGATCTACATTGTGTTGATGGGAGTGTAAAAGCACATTATTACATTTTAAAAAAAAAATTTTGTTACCCCTGTCAGGTGTGTGAGTTGGAGACAGCTCGCCAGGCACAGGACAAGACAGACGTGGAAGCTCTGCTGGACTGCGCCAGGCAGGACAAGGCTCGGCTGGAGCAACGAGTGGCCGACCTGACAGAGTCCCTGGCCCTCAGCCAATGTGAGGTCACTCGCCTCAAGGACTGTCTGGCAACCAAGGAGCAAGATCTGATAGGTATTTAGCTGAACTGATTTACTTATTCACCACAGTGAATTGACCAGTTGACCCAGCACTTCTCTTGCCATTAAGATAAGTCGTATCATTGGCTCGATTGTTTGCTTCTATACACACTCAACTATTCCAGTCCAAGCTTTCGGAAATAGTATCCATGTTTTGATCAAACTATTCAACCTTTTTTGGTTCAAATTCCTGTTTTAATTTCTTTTTTTTTAAAATGTATAAAATGTTGTACTTTGCCTGCAAAACCAAAAAGTAAAGCTGTAGGCTGAACTTATGGACTATGAATTTCTACTGTGTCGACAACTTTCTTTGTACTTAATAATGGAAATGAAAGAAAGAAG